GTGGTGACGTCAATTTGAACCCCGCCCACTGGAACCGGTACTGAAAGCATAATGGAAACACAACCTGTACCGTACCGAGTAGAGTAGAGCCGTGCTGTACCGGTCCGTACCGGTACTAATGGAAAAGGGGCATTTGATACTCTGTCATTTAAAAAAATTATTAAAAGCAGAAGAAAACTTGGGCTCCAAAACCAAACTTTGTGGGATGCCACAGAATACTCTAAATTTAAAAAAATTGCCTGTATTTTTGACATGTAAAGTGTATCAATTGTAGTTTATGAAGTCTTCAGCAATATTTGATAAGATCTTGTAATAAATGTTCATCCTGTGCCTACTGATAGTCTTTCTGATAAAGGAAAATACACGCTTGTTGTTTTCCCAGGTGTGACTGTAGGAACGTTTGTCGTTGCAGGTGTACCAAAGTGCTGTATCACAGCAGCGTGGATGCCTTGGAAGAAATGAGTGATGAGGAGCTTCAGGAACTCTTCAAGGAGGCCTCTTTCCACGAGTTGCTGTTGGAGCCGGGGACCACCGTGATAAACGTGTGTCGCCAGGTCAATGCCATCCCTGATGGACCCAGAGGGTAGGCAGCAAACCTCTGCTGTTAATAGCTCCACTTTTAGAAGAGCTGTGTTTGTTTTGTCCATCCATGTTCTGCTTGTTCTGAAGTTAGGTCGTGGGGACAGTAGTTTAAAGCAGGGAGGTCCAGACATCTCTTTAAACAGCACCTCTTCCATCTCTTCTGGGAGGACTCCAAGGTGTTCCCAGGGTCTTCCCTGAGTCTCCTCCCAGTCGGACAGGCCCAGAAAACCTTTCAAGGGAGGCCTCTTTTGAAAGGAGGGATTGTCAGTTGTAGGGCTGGGCATCGTTTGAATATGAGCTATTATGGTTCCGATTCTTCATTTCGATTCCCGTTCCTATCGATTCCCGATTCCAATTCTTTTTTGAAGTGGGGTTAAAAAAAAAGACCTGTCAATAGTGATGGGTCTGACGACACTGAAACCTCGGTGCATGCACCGAGCAAACAAGGCGAAGCCCCGTGTCTGTGCGCGTATCTCTTTAAGGAAACCCACGTGACCGATACAGCTACTGTATCGTTTGGTTGTGAACATGCCAAATTGTATTTATAAGGGAGAAAATGTATCGACACGCTTGTGGGTTTTGTTGGATGGAAATAGTTTGTGTTCTTTGCTTTGCATTAGTTTTTGGCTTGTCATCCAATACCATGGATCAACCAAGGAAGAGGGAACTTTTCTCCCGTGTGGGATCATTTTAATTTTATCACGAAAAAGAAGGTAAATGATTTATCCGTTCTTGTTTCCACTATTGATCATTTTTCTTTCGAGTTACTCTAATTTATTTCTGAAGGATATTTTAATTAGTTTACATGGATTAACTTTTATTTTAGTTGTAGGTGTGTAGAATGAACATATACTGATATATATTCATAAATTAAACGGATTCTTTCATTTTTCTGGACTGTATA